CGTAACATTAAAACTTTCTCCTTTTAGGCGTTGTGAATGGCCCAGACATTCGAAAACTGGTGAAAACTGAAGAATTCGACAATGTTTTAATTGACAACGAATTGACTGCTTGGCGTTCCATAAAAGAGGTCATTGAGGGCTTATTAGGGAAACATCGGTCTGAACACTATCAACGTTCCGTGCATACAATGTTGGATGCGTTCTCCAAAATTGGTGTTAATATGTCGCTGAAAATTAACTATTTGCATCATCATCTAGATTACTTCGGTCGACAGTTAGCCACCGAGTCAGATGAACAAGGAGAACGTTACCACCAAGTAGCCGGCCATTTGAAATGAGGTAATGTGATTAATTTTTTGTTGCATAGAAAACGGATTTTAATGAAAACAATTTACAGATATAGAGGAAAATAATTGCCCGACGCAGTTCTTGCGGAAATTTGTTGGTGGAGCAAAAATGTGTTTGAAGATGAAGAAGAAGAAGAAGGAGGTGTCTCAGAAAGAGAAACCGAAATTTTGGTAGATTCAGACGCGGACTCTGACGATGACAGCGATGGTATCGACGATTTCCCACTCCAACTGGCACCAAAAAGGGTTCGAGCAACATAGTCGTTCCATCTCATTTATCGTGTAATTCATTGGAAAATAAACAAAAAATACAAGAATAATGTTTTTTAATTAAAAAAATTAAATCCTAATTACTTTGCAAAAATGGGCTAAAAAAGGCATTTTCAACCACGAAATATTTAATAAATATTAGATATTCTATTTTTTCAAGTTTAAATGGTTAAGTATATCCATTTATACATCGCGAAAAGTCGATAAAATGACCCAAAAATATGCGAACTTCAAGAGGTTGCATAGCCACCGCCGGCGCATTCGCGAAAAATTTCAGGTAGCCATTAAAAAAAAATCCGAGCTAATAAAGTAAAACCCCGGGGGGATTTTGTTAGTCTATTGGTCTACTTTCATTTCCCGTTAGAGTCATTTGGGATGGAAGCGATGACCCGAAATTTGTTGCACTGTGTTGGTGAAACAGGTAGATCTATCAAAACTAGAATTAAAGAACACCAACATAACGATAATTCCAATTTTGGTAGATATACGTTAATGTTTAGACATGCTCTTGACATACAAGAGGGTGTTACGTTGCTACATAAACAGAACAAAGGTTTTAAACTTAGTTTATTAGAACAATACGAAATAACGGGTGTTTTTTTAAGCCCGATAGAACTTTAAAAACAAAAAAGTAACACAAAAATTAAATGTTAAACCAAAAAATTTTTTTGATGGAAAGATCAATTCATGGCATTTAACATTTAAAAATGATTTTGGGCATATGGGCACCGTGGCTGTTCTTGACGAAGCGCATTTTGGAAGTCCAATTTTGGGCCACTTTTTCGAGCATTGCTGGCCGTATGTCACGAATAACACGAACAATGTTGGCCTGAAAGGTGTCAATTGTTGCGGGTTTATCAGCATAAACCAAGAAAATAATCGAGAGGTGTCAAATCGCACCACCTTGGAAGCCAATTGGCATATCCATTTCTCGAAATCAACTTATCGCCAAATTTTGATTTTAATAAGTCGATGGTTGCGGTCGCTGTATGACACGTAGCGCCGTCCTGTTGAAATCACATCTCGCCCGGATCAATATCATCCATATTTTCAAACAAAAAATCATTGATCATGGTGAGGTAACGATCTCCATTGACCGTAACGCGAGCTCCGACTTTATTTTTGAAGAA